CTGAGTAGCTGGGATTACAGGCACGCGCCACCATGCCCAGCTGATTTTTGTACTTTTAGTAGAGACGGGGTTTCACCGTGTTGACCAGGATGGTCTCGATCTGTTGACCTCGTGATCCACCCGCCTCGGCCTCCCAAAGTGCTGGGATGACAGGCGTGAGCCACCACGCCCGGCCAAAAAAAGTGTTTTTTTTGCATGCTGGGATTACAGGCATGCACTACCACGCCTGGCTAATTTTTAGTATTTTTAGTAGAGATGAGGTTTCACCACGTTGCCCAGGCTGGTCTTGAACTTCTAAACTCAAGTAATCAGCCCGCCTCGGCCTCCCAAAGGGCTGGGATTACAGCACCTACGTTGGGGGCACAGGTGCTTGGGTGGATGGGTGTGTGGTGTGTGGAGTGTCAAGTTATGGATGGAGAATCCGTGGACGGATGAATCAGTTCACGGCTGAAGTCTGTGGATGGGTGAGCGAGACCAAGGATGGCCCTGAATTCATGGGGGGATGGACAGACGCCTCCGGGAGGGAGCGCAGGGTGAACCTGGCCGGCCTTGTCCCCACAGCTGCCCATAGTGGCGTCCTCCGTCGTGTCCCTGTACTTCCTGGAGCTCACCGACCTCTTCAAGCCGGCCAAGGTGGGCTTCCAGTGTTACGACCGTACCCTGTCCATGCCCTACGTGGAGACCAACGAGGAGCTGATCCCGCTGCTGATGCTGCTCAGCTTGGCCTTCGCGGCCCCTGCTGCCTCGGTGAGCACCCGGGCCGGGCCGGCCTGAGGGCACCGCGGCCGGGAGCCCACCTGAGCGCCCCCCTCTCTGTCGGCAGATCATGGTGGCCGAGGGCATGCTGTACTGTCTGCAGTCCCGGCTGTGGGGCCACGCCGGGGGGCCCGCCGGGGCGGAGGGCAGCATCAACGCCGGCGGCTGCAACTTTAACTCCTTCCTGCGCCGGACCGTGCGCTTTGTGGGTGAGTTGCCGGACGGCACCCCGACCCTGAGCCACGTCCGTGTGCAGGGGGTGAGGCCATCCCCGGTCCCCGGGTCCCTCGCCGGGCCCTGAGCCTCCCACTCCGCAGGGGTCCACGTGTTCGGCCTGTGTGCCACAGCCCTGGTGACGGACGTGATCCAGCTGGCCACGGGCTACCACACCCCCTTTTTCCTGACCGTCTGCAAACCCAACTACACTCTGCTGGGGACGTCCTGCGAGGTCAACCCCTACATCACCCAGGACATCTGCTCTGGCCACGACACCCACGCCATCCTGTCTGCACGGTGAGCTGGCCGGGAGCCGTCCTCCACCCCGTGTCCCTTCCTGGGGAAACAGAGGCAGAGCCTCCTGGAGCTGGGGTCCCTGGGCAGACGGGGCTCATGCTGGACGCCTCTTACAGGAAGACCTTCCCGTCCCAGCACGCCACGCTGTCGGCCTTCGCCGCGGTCTATGTGTCGGTGAGTCCAGCCCGCTCTGCCCTGCCCAGGGCCTCTTGCTGGCCCCTGGCGAGCCTCCCTCTGACCCCAACCCCCACGCCTCCAGATGTACTTCAACTCGGTCATCTCCGACACCACCAAGCTGCTGAAGCCCATCCTGGTGTTCGCCTTCGCCATTGCCGCGGGCGTGTGCGGGCTCACGCAGATCACGCAGTACCGCAGCCACCCGGTGGACGTGTACGCCGGCTTCCTAATCGGGGCAGGCATCGCTGCCTACCTGGTGAGTGGCAGGGCCTGAGGGGGGTTGGCATGGGTGCCCACGGGGTCTGAGGGGAGAGGCTGGCCCAGAGGGCCTGAGGGGAGAGGCATGGGTGCCCAGGGGGTCTGAAGTGGGAGGCTGGTGGTCTGAGGGGGGTTGGCATGGGTGCCCACGGGGTCTGAGGGGAGAGGCTGGCCCAGAGGG